TCTTAAGATTCCGCAAACAGAGCCATGTTTGTGGGATCCGCAACTCAAAAGTTTTAAGAATCGTACAGCGCAAAATGATGCTTTGCGACGAATTATCCAATTATTATCTTTTAATCGAAGAATTAGAAAGGCGAAGAAAAACCTAATGGGTTTTTATAAAACCATTTTTAACAAATATAAAAAGTCTTCAAGGAACATTAACGCCAACTTTAATACGCCGTTCAATGGCATTGAAATTTAATGAAATGGTGCGTTCAAGTGTAGCCAGTTTTACCGCGTTAAATTTGTGCGTTTATAGGCATTGACGTTTCCTGTTAGTGTAGAACAAGCATTAACGCGTTCGCTCGATACTCGACGCAGAGGCGGGACGATCTATTGCGCGGTGGGCTAAGCGTTAAAATATGAATATCGACAGTCGATATTTTTTTCAATAAAAGGTTTTAATTTTTTATTTTGGTCTCGTAAATCATTTAATCTACTACTACCCAATTTTCTGTACTTTATTTTATTCTATTAATTTTTCTCCAGTTTATTTATTTGCTTATTATCTTAAAAAGAAATGTAATTTTGTATAGTATATCTCTGTGGTATTAAAATTACTACAATCTACGAAACTTATAACTACTTTACTAACTGTCTGTTTTTGCGGGAACTTGACCGTCGACGGATTTTTGCTTTTGTTTTATCGCTTAAACAATGGTTTGAAGTGGATTTTAATTCGTAAAAGTGATGCAATTTTGTGATTTAAGTGTCTGCGCGTGTGAACTATTAGAGAAGACGACTAAACAAGTGCTTCAATGTTAATATAAACCTCAAGTTATATTGATCGGTTAGGCGTCTTATGATTACTTAAGTTACTGTCGTCATCGACTGTCTGCTGGGTAGATAATTTACTCGCTAAATATTTGATTTCTTCAGCTACATCTGTAATACCTGTGCTTCTAAGCATATTTAACAACAGAACATATAAAGCAACGAGTATTTTTGAAATCTCTTACGGAAAAAATATTGGTACACAGAATCGTCTTATTTAATATAAGAAATAATTAATAAGAACTATAATCTAACATTTCCATACATTTATAATATAATTTGCTTAATAAATATAATAAATGAATTAAACTAAAATGACTTACGGTTGTTTTTTTAAATAAAGCCGATATATCGATATTTTTTCGATTTATAAAACTCCGATGTTGACTTACATATAACTGTATATTAACTTACGATATATAAAACTCCAATACTGATATATTTATAATTATCGATATATCAAAAATATGATATTTAAAGAAATATCACAGTCCTAATTTAGACTTGTCAGTTGGAATGATCAGTTGAACTGACCGTGTGCGTGGAAATTTCTTTTGCTTAAATCCGTTCGAACTGATATCAGTTCGATTGATGACTTTAACTGACCGTGTGTGGCCACCATAAGAATAAAGTCTGTGGTTATTTAAAATACTTCACACCTGCCTCCAGCTTTTGTCGTTCAAGTAACCATACTTTGCATTTATTTCTAAATAAATTTGTATTTACGATCTCCTGCAAAGGAGGTGGTATATTATTCAAAATTTTGAAGGCAGCATATTTGAAACATCCTTTCTTTAACACATTTTTGCCATTGATCATGATAGTTGGGTCAATTTTTTTGTATAGATGCAACCTGATGACGTGTACCCATAATTATTTAAACGTTTTTTTAGGATTCAAACTATAAATAAATTAGAAATGGTTGTCGACCAAGTTGAAGCTCAACAGCGTCGGTAACATTGCTGGCATTTAATTTTGCTCTCCCACTTGGCACTATGCCGCAAAGCGCAATAGAAGCAAAGGTTTTTTTAATATAGAAAAGGGGCAAACGAGCATGTGGCTCACCTGTGCTGACTTGTGGTTACTGACTGCCGCCACCCATGAACCACCGCAACATCACGCGAATTACAGGTGCACTGCACTCCATTCTAAAAGGCCAGCCGTTTAGAAAGAAGTAAGCTCTTTTCTTTCGACGCCGATTTCACGAATTCACGATTCCACAAAGAGTTCGTGCGAGGAAGAAAACTCATAGTAAAACATACAGTGGTGGACCGCCAAACATCCAGATGATGTCCACTCGACTTGTTGACGTTCAAGGAGAGCAGTGTTTTGAGAACTAAGAGTTATGTAAACCGCACATCTGGCATAGAGTACTCACACCGCGGGATGGTCGGTTGTGTGCTCACCACGTCATCGTTGGACGCAAAGAGAGAGCGTAACAAATTGACTTTCTCCCTAGCGGCGCGAGCCAGTGAGTCGTCCTCTCTATACAGAAATGGGAGAGATGGCTCTCTATACAGAAATGGGAGAGATGGCTAATAGAACTTCTTTTGGACAGTCTTAGCGAGAGACCAGAATGCATGGGTGCCCGAAGGAAATAATTTCTCGCAAATTCAGGCGATGCCTGACTTTATCTTGGCAATGGCTCTTTTGAAGCGCGTAGTAGCGGAATTATACCAGCGAATGGACCTGGTAGCACTCCTGTATATAGTGTGATGCTGTTTTACAGAAGCGACCAACCCATGGCTGGTATCTGCTTCTGATGGGCAACACAGAAGGTGGAGTAAAATTTTTCATAGCCTGAAGTGCCACATCAATGACACAAGCAGCAAAAATGTTGAGATCATTCGGCGAGAAGCAAACCCACCCCCAAGGGTATGATGCAAGAAAGTAAAAGCAAGTTCCAGCCTGAGGCACAAAGGAGTGTTCCATTTTGTACCCCGGTTAAGAGAGATACGAAGTATCATCTGGAGAGAAAACCTGCATCTCGGTAATAAAGAGCAAGGCCGGCTTCGCCGTCTCCAGATGGTAGTGGACGGCGTTTATAGGTTTGAGTGATGTCCTTTGATGTTGCAATAACTCACGGACAGCGTGGACGGGGTCATCTTGGTCTTGCCCGAAGTTTTTGTTCTTCGAGGAAATTCCCCTCTCCCTCTCCAGAAATCCTGAGCACCAAAGCTCAGTAGTGAAGTAGCTTGGTCGTGGATACGCAGCGAGGGAACCTCCATTATCAGGGTTGCTGTTAACCAGGGGTAGTATATCGTTTAATTTCGCTATCATGTTGATGGAGACGGGGAGGTGAAATAGGGCCTCCGACCATCTGCATTAATCAAACACACAAGCAGAAAAGCAGAGATTCTACCTCACGCTGGTATTCTGTGAGGTATGAAGTGGAACAAAAATCTTGTTTTTCAGAAAAGATGGTAACCCCTTATGAAGAACTGCAGTTGATTTTTCTTTTAAACTACATTTAGATGATGTATTTGAGAGTTATTAAGAACTATTTTATACGCAGATTTCATGACCTCTAGTCTTCTGAATAAGTTGATTTGAAATCTGCGCATTTTAACCTATACATACAGTGTCTGCCAAGTACCAACAGATTGGTTTTCAACGGTTAAGTCGTCAGAAAAAGATGTGTTCATGTCACACTTATAAGTGGGATGTTAGAGGAAATTACGCTCATAATAACTGTTGTAAAATATGTGTCTGTAAAATGTAGCATTGAAGTTAATTGAGGATAGAATGATATTAATGAGGAGTTTACCGACACGCAACTAAAGGCAGTATTGTCAAGTGATATTGTGAGGAAGCTCGGCTGCAACGCCCATGGTTCCTGGATACGCAAAAATCGATGTAATTAAAATGGCGTAACATTTGCTTTTGTAGCGCTTTAAAGACGGGGTGTTATTCTTTCTCGAAATACCAGGGGGTATAGCATTTACATTCTTGCTCACCTTTAGTAACTCACTGTTACTTACTTACGGGCATTTTCTACAACTTTGCTCAAGGGTGCTTAATTGTACAAGCAAAGAAACGCCAATTTTTGCATCAGCGCACGTCGAACGTGTGGTATGAGAATATGAAGTACGCACGAGCGCGCGGTAGATATGCCGCAATCTGCAGGAAATCCGCTGCAACCAGGCTCTGGACTTTGTTGCGTGTTGTTGTCTTGCAGGCATCAGGTTGACAGTTATCAATTATAAACTGCCAGCTCATGAGGTAGCTTGAGGATCACCAGCTGATTAGTTGATGTTCAAGATCGTCCCTACCATTACACCAGATTTGATAAACCACAAGTCCTCGCAAAAGAACACCGATTCCTACCACGGATGATACGTGAGGCTAATGAAATTAAAAAAAACATCCTAATTTCAATAGAGAAGATGGATGGGTGCTGCCATGCTTGGGATCCTATAATCAACAAAATAAAACCCAAACCCAAGCAGACCACTGCAAGACTTCAAGATACTGTAAGCTCTTTTTGCGTAAATCGGACCGAAAAATTAATATTAAAACCAGTACGGTTTCTGTGAGGGTCACTCAGCTGGTGACCTTATGGGTTACCTAACTCATAGATGGGCGGAGGCAGTAGAGTCCAAAGGGAGGCGTTGGCCGTTACTTTGGACATAGCGAAGGTCTTCGATCGGGTCTGGCACAAAGCGCTTCTAACGAAGCTTCCTTCCTATAGGCTTCCCGAGAAATTTGTGCAATTGCATCACCAGTTTAAAAAAATACATTATTGTCATGTAATAGTTATTAATGTCAACGAGAAATTTTGTAGTCTTAAAAATCATCAGCACCACTCCTTAAACATAACTATTTAGAGATTAGAATCACAGCCGTAACGCATTTTCGAGGGGAGGCTGCTGGCTTGAATTCAGGCTCGAATAATTCCAAAGAGGGCTGTATCTTGTAAAAAATTAAGTCACTACATTTTTTCAAATCACCATTACCTCCCTAAACTTACTAAATGTTGACAATAAAATCCAATATCGTTGGGGAGGATTGTAGCTTAAGGAAAAACAATCTTAAACCATTTAAACCATAGATTATCCATAACTACGTTTTTAAAAATACGGATTAGGTCCAGGTATTTCCTTTTATAATAATAAAAGTATCAATATTAAATAAATTTTAATAATTACATGAAGTACTTATTTTACACTGTAATGAATAAAATAAGCCTAACTTTTTTCGATTTCTTGTTCTGATTTCTTAAGTTTTTCTTCCTCAACTGTAAGTAAATATAATTTAATAGGAATTAGACAAAGGAGTAAAAATCTAGAAAAGTCAGAGAATGTAAAAATATTATTGAAACAAATAAGCTTTAATGAAATTAAATCGTATAGTTAGTTTTATTTGGTAAGCACGTTTTTAAGTAATAGACAGTGATAAAATAAAATAATAAATCTATTTTGCCAAAGAATATTACTGCCACAAACAAAGCCGTAACAACCCAAATGTTACTACAGCTGGTATATGCAAGTATTATTTAATGAGATACTCGTTCTGCTTCCGATAAAATCCATTATAGATATATGAATATGCTTGATGACCAGCTCATTCAGCAAATAATTATGGTATTTGTGTATAAAACTTACGTAAAGGTTTCCCGCGTGTCCAATAAATATACTGAATTTGAGAATCATCCCGTTTAGCGGCTTCCTGCTTTAAGTCAGACTTGAGCGACATGCGCAAAACTCTTGCTGCTATATTTGAATAATTTATGTAACTGTAAAGGAAATATGATATTAACCCTAGAAACTAACTAAAGTAAAACGTACTTCTATAACGTCACGACTAAAGCTAAAGAGCCATTTCTAATCTCGTTCATTGTTTATTAGAACTGAATAAAAATGAATTAGCTATCCTGATTTAAAAATAAATGCGTTTGTTTCTTTACTATGATCGGTATTTCACTGGGTTCTTGTGCAAAGGGTCTAGTGTAGCGATTATAGTAGATTCTCTAATCCTTTTAATCGAAGTCTAAGGTAAACTGTCAAAGATTGGAAATGAAAATTGATACTGATTTAACATGGTACCTATAAGGTAAGGTCGGTGGATCTTCTTCTTGGATCTAAAGTACTTATATGTGAGCTACATGGAGCTTGTGATGAACTATAATGCAAATTTTTGTAAATCTTTTATGACTAAAATTAATATAAATTATATTTGTATTTAATTGATTATAAACAAAATATTACTTCAGTCCAGCGGAACGCCACGTACTCATTTCGAACAAATTTCAATTCCTTTCCGTAAGTACGTACAAATAATCTTGTGTGTAATATATTTTATAATATATAACCTATATTTAAGTTTAATGACTGTAGCGGCTTGACATATGCCAAACAAATTGAAGTTAAACCTTAAAGTAACAATCATAGATTTAGTATAAACTGATTGCTACTCGTAAACATATATTTATGGTAACAATATACATTCGTAAAATATCTGCGTCGTCGCCGTGTTATAACATAGGTCATCTTGAAGCTAGTTTAAAATCGATTGCAAACAACAAACAGACAAGAAAGTGAGTTACCATCACTCAGTTCTGAGCCTTTCGCTAACTCATCGGGAAGTGAGTTTAAAATCAATTGAAAAATTTAGATGTACCGAGAAAACAATCAGAGAAGCGATTTATATAAAAAATCGGACTAATGAAATTAGTCTCTCGAAGTATTAACGTGTAAAGTTGTTTTCTCCATTTTTTCTCAATTGATTGGAGATCGGTTATTTTTGTCTGTCACAATGGGTAAGCCATGTAGGCTTACCCATTGTGACAGACAGTTACTCTTGTCTTTTTGTTAATATTTTCGCTATGGATTTTCCTACACTGAAAGTATGAACATAGCTCTTTCCATCGCAAGCTAAGTGATTTTGAACTTCCTCATACGGCCGGCAGTGATGGACCACAACTACGTCCACTTCTAAGTCCATACTACTGTAATTACTGGCAAACATCTTCGTCCGCATAACCTTCTTTTTGTGCCTCAATTTTACTATCTAACGCTTGCCTACAGAGTGGAGTGGGGTCGAAAAATTGCCTCTTAATCTCTTCCCCTCCACCCCACCGCGGAAGTGTACGTATAACCTTAACTTTAAGGAGGTCTAACTTTTTAGTCTAAATCTCGATCTGCCTTTTTTTAAATCTTTGCTCCATTTCTAATACCGTTTCATTCGGAATCCCAAATACAACTAGTTCAATATAACATCAAATTATGAATAATCTAATTCATCGTTTTAATGCAAGGTGGTACAAAAAAACCAGTTACTTTAATAATACTAATCGTTGCTCGTCTGAATCTATTCTTTTCTTATTCTTGAAAAGTTAGTTTAAATTAAAAGATGATGGGTCTATTTACATATATTTTGTTGAAAATCAAACAATTACTTTGTTTTCAAAACACCATTTCTTAATAAATAAAACATTTTTAACGCACAGATTTTCTTATGTAACAGTTATACAGTAAAGTAGCTTTACAATAAAGTTGACAAAGAGTATTTGAATTGGGAGCTCCAAAGCAACGTATATCTAATATTTTTATCACAAATATCTTGTACCCATTAAATTTTTTCACATCCTTTTAAAAAATCTTTTTATCTTTCGAATATGTCTTGATAATTCTGTGAAACTCTATAATCAACAAAGCCCTCACTCCATCGACATCCTCTGTGCTCCTCAATCCAGCCAATTTGATTTTTCTCTTTAGGAGATAGTGAAGTGAATGGGTAAGGAGGTTTAACTAGGAATATTTTGGTGTACTCTAGAGTGGCTATAGCAAATTCTTTTACTATTTTTGAATCCTTGAAGTTCTTCTAGACTAAGTACGTAGGGTACTTAGTCTGCCTGGTTTTTTTAAAGAATTTTGAGAAGAAAATGAGAAATTTATTGAAAAAGAGACATTAGCTATCATATTTAGAGTAACAAAGTTTTATGAATATCTATTTGCAAGAACATTTGAATTAGAAACTGATAATGCAACGTTGGTAATAGTTTTTGGTTCTAAAAAGGGAATACCAAAAATGGCTTGCAAACGTTTACAGCATTGGGCCACATTTTTGTCAGGCTATTTGTTGACAACTATTGTATTAGGCTGCACTAAAAGTATCGGGAATGGAATATTTCTACTGTTCCTGTCATATTAAAACATATTTAATTGAAAACTCCTTGGTTTTAAAAATCGAATACCATTTATTTATTTAAAAAAAGATTCTCGGTCTTGTCACAAGGTTTTATCAAACTTGTTTAGTCGTTGAGAAAATGGAATTGACTCGAGAAAATTCAAGAGCGATGATTTATTATGACTTTCGAAGTGATTTAACACAAAAATAGTGTGTTGACCGGATGATTTCTGCATTTGGTGATTAAACACCATCCAAAACCACAATTTATCTCGCTGGTTTGCTGAATTTCAAGGGTGTCAAGCTCAGTGATGATCCCCGTCAAGATCGTCCAAAAACTGCAGTCACCCAAGAAAACGTTGATGCTGTGCGTAAGCTGATTGAGGAAGATCGACATGTGACATACCGCGAAATTTAGGCAGCTTTAGACATTGGCATGAGTCAAATACAAATAATATTGCATGAACAATTAGGTGTAAAAAAGTTGTTTTCCCGATGGATACCGCATTCGCTCTGCGAAGAGCAAAAAGCGGCTCGCGTTACTTGGTGCGTCAGAACTCTCGAAAGATTCCACGCAGGATCCTCAAATGCTGTATACAACATCGTATCAGGTGACGAATCCTGGATATATAAAAGTACGCACCCGAAACAAAAAACCAGTCACGAGTTTGGGTGTTCGAAAATGAGTTAAAGCCAACAAAAATTCTTCGTTCACGGACTGTTGCAAAAAAAATGGTGGCCACGTTTGTCTCCAAAACCGGCTATGTTACGACTATTCCTCTTGAGGGACAAAGAACGGTTAATGCAGAATAGTATGCTAGCATTTGTTTGCCACAGGTCGTTTCTGAACTCCGTAAAGAGAACTGCAACCGCCGCATCATCCTCTATCACGACAATGCGAGTTCTCACACCGCACACAGAACAAAAGAGTTTTTAGAGCAAGAAAACATAGAATTATTAGACCATCCGCCGTACAGCCCCGACCTAAGCCCTAATGATTTCTATATTTTCTCTAAAATAAAGAATAAATTGCGTGGACAGAGATTTTCATCACCTGAAGAAGCTGTGGACGCCTACAAAACGGCCATTTTGGAGACCCCAACTTCCGAATGGAATGGTTGCTTCAATGATTGGTTCCATCGTATGGAAAAATGTGTCAAATTTCGCGGAGAATACTTCGAAAAGCAATAAATACATTTATAAATAGTAATGTTGTGTCACTTCCTTGATTCCCGAAATTTTCAGTGCCGCCCTCGTATCAGTCATATTAAGTCAAAAAATAATCCTGCAGACTTTTGTCAAGAAACCCAATTGATGATAAAAGTAAGTTTATTTAAACATCCACTGTTAGTTAATAGTGAAGTAAGTGTTTTATATTGTTTGTCATTGTCAAATTTTGAAAGTGTTAATTGGTAAGATATTGTAAAAGAAACTGCTAAATGTACTTTGCTGTCAACGTTGACTTATATATTACTAGCGTAAGGACCGGGCCGACCGAACATCTAAAATGGACAATCGTTGGTTAGTTTGGGCAACGGAATCGGTCGACAATGGTGCGCGCGTAGGACAGATTGTCTGTCCTAAATATGTCTAGTTACGTGGTAAAAGAATGTAAAAATTATGATACAAAGATAAATAAAAACATGGGCGTTGTATCATCGGTAAATAACCTTATATTAATTTTGTTACAATTAAATTATTATATAAACGCATTTTTAAAGTTTTATTTTATAGTTAGTTTAGTTACGTTACTAAGATTAGGCCAGAGTTAGATTCAGACCCTAAAAAATATTGTACATGAAAAATAAAATTATACTATTTAAAAAAAATTATATCACGTTTGACGTTTCATGTTTATTTTTTCCCACATGCCGGGATTTTGGCGTCACGCGTCTAGTTTATCTATACGTTTCGTTTTTTGACGGTTTAATTTTATTTTTGTTTAAATTTTGTCAAAAGAAATTAGTGTAAGTTAAATTTTGAATATTGGTACCTAATATACTTTATATTCTATAAGGGTAAAACGAAAAGAGTACAAAAGAAAAGGATCGATCGAGCGTCGATTGACCAGAAAGGGAGCTAATTCTAATTTTATTACTCATGTACAATACAGAAATTCTCAAAATCTATATTTTATTAAGTTAATATTAAAATGTAAAAGGACCCAAAAATAATAAAACTCGACCTTTAGTTAATATTATGGTATTTGGCTAGTATTATTATTTGTATAAATAACCTTCACTTTTATATAATTGTAAGATTCACAAAGGGATCTTTTCATTTCTGCATTGGTGATTACATTGTAATCTGGTGTAATCATACTTAGTTGTTAATTTATTCATCTGATACTTTCATTCTATTGGTTACATGTTAATTCCTTTTTTTTTGTATCTCAGTATAGGTAAAAATGTATGTTATATACCTAGATTTAGATAAATGTAACCTAATATTATAACATTGTGGGTGGGAAGAGTGTGGTAACACACAACGGGGAACTTTATAAAAGTGGTGTGGGCAACACTCTTCCTCTCTCTGGACAAGTGCACTAAATAAAATTCGTGAATTAATATTTTGAATTTGAACA